GGAAAGAGAATCATTAACTAACCCCGATTCAATTATAGGAGCATGCATGAGTTCAAACTTCAAGATAACAGCCGAGGATTGTCCCTGTGTATAGTTAATAGCCAAGAAAATTATGCCACAAGAAAAAAAAAGGTCAGAGGGGTGCACATCAAGAAAGTAGCAAGTGTAACAGCATTTTATTTTAATAAAAGATTATTACAAAGGATAGAAAATACAACCGGGAGGAGGGTTAAAAATCCTCCTAAAAAGAAAATGAAGAGAAAAATCAGAAAATAATCCTAAGTAGCTCAAAAACACAACAAATTTGTTCAATTTCTTTGCATAACAGAAGTAGAAATGTAGTTCAAATAACCATGAGCTCATGATGACAAATCCTATCCGGTAGTTAATGAAATAACAAGACATCCTTAAAAATATAGGTTTTCCTTCACCAACCTAATATCCCAGAGAATGACATGGCTTTCTTTTATTACAATTTATGATATAGAAGAAAATTTCCCCCTTTTGCAGTTATTTTATAAATCTCATTACTTCTGCCAGTGCCATCAGAATATTGAATGAAGAGGGAGGAGGGGGCAAGAAAAAGTGCCAATGGCATTATTAGATATCAATGTAAATTGTGAATATTCGGTGTCAGATGATATGCAGAGTTACAGCCATCAGCAACTTGGATCAGTGTGCGTGATAGGTACCCCTTTGCATACTGATTGACACATAATCATGATGTAATTACATTAAAACTCATTTGCTTCCTTGTATGTATGTGATCTTTGCAAAGTTCATTGTGGGTACATGTATTTTCATTGTTCTTTGTTCATAATTCATATTCATTATAATTTACATTGGGTGTGGTCCAGGGCCTTTCAACGTCTTTCTATAATTTTAAACTCAATTTGCATGATTTTGTCAAAAGAACAGATAGTCATTTTTGGGTTGTTCACAACACAGGACACTCCAAAAAGTCATGCTAACATCTGAGCATCATACACTGTGTTAAATTTTCCTGCCTTTGGCAAGCTCTTCTCTATCATGTTTTTGTGTCCTATACCTAGTTTATTTGTTTCAACAGAAAAGAACCCCCTCCATTGCCTTCACATGTATTAAAGGGTTATATAAAACAAACATAAAAATAGAGAGAAAAACTGACCTCACATTCACCAAAAGACAGGTAGAATGAGATCATGATAGAAAGAAATACATCCTGTCTTGCATATTTTATCCGGAATGGTGGTGTTGAAAAACTGTTGTCTGTATCATCAATTGTCCAGACTCTACATAAATTGTCAGAACCCACTTCAGGAGCTGCAGCTCAAAGAAAATGATGGATTCTAAGATTTTACTCTAGAGCTAAAACACTTAAACACAAATATAGTGCAATACAAACTAACTAACTAAAAGAACAAAAAAATATTCAGTACATCAAGCTTGCTAGTGTCAATGTCTCATGTATAGTGAAAGTGTACTGCAGTTGAAAATAGTAAGTTTAAATACTTTAAGAAAGCATTACATTTACAATAAAATCACTTTAATCAGAACTGCAAGGTTGAGTTATACTAATGCACAAAAATACCAGAAGGACTGGTCTGTTCAAAATTTGTTTTGCAAACAAGTATCCATTCAGTTGCTGAAAAACTTAATTCTGAATATGGTTAACAGCAAATAACAATTGGAAAGTCATTGTAGAGAAGGAAAAATGGTAGAATTCTGACAACAATTAAAACAAATTACGAGAAGTTCAAGCCCTATTTGGTTGTATAGTCTAAATTTATATATAAATATAGGCAGGCAATAGAAGAAAAACTTCAAAATGAGTTTGATTCCATATTATCTAAACTGAATTAGAGATAACAAACAACAATCCGATGTTCATTTGATACAAGTTTGTCTTCCGAAGTCATTAGAAATGAATGTTCATTTCTAAAATGCATTGTTCAGTCAACAAAGAATATTAATATTTTAACAGGCCCTGAATGACTCCTATTTCAAAGAAAATCACTACTCTTAGAATTTAATTTGACCCTAACTCAACCCCTAAGCTAGCTAAAATTAGAAATGTAAGTTCACTTCTAAAATGCATCATTCACTCAACAAAGAATTTATTAGATATCAAATTCCAATATTTGAACAGGCCCTGAATGACTCCTATTTCAAAGAAAATCACTACTCTTAGAGTTTGCATTTGACCCTAAGTCAACCCCAAAAGCTAGCTTATAGCGTGAGGCTTGCCCTCGTTTACATACACTATTTTGGTTATACCACTAATCAATATAAGATCTTCCACACTATCTCTCATGTTGGGGATTGAACACTTGAATATAAAGTTTACAAGAGTAACATTTGCAAATGATCCAATAAGGACCTAGTAATCAAAGGCTTAGTAGGTCCAATAATAACTACTAGGATAGACTCTAATACTATACTCAGCCCCCAAAAGCTAACTCATGGATTGAGGATTTTCCCTTACTTAAGTACATTACTTTGATTATATTATTAGTCGGATGTAGGATCTCAAACAACTAGCACATATTCAAGACAAATCATCCATACCTAGACAAAATAAGGTCATGGGAAAAAAGGCTGAAGTAACTACCACTTTTAGAACCAAAATCATTCTACAAACTTAATTGGTGCTAAACCAAAATCATTCTAGTATCCTCACTGGTTCTTCTAGTGACTTACTTTGACGTTTCCAAACTTAAGTTGCCTTCAAGTACCAACTGTGATTTCCATGTAAGAACGTGTTTTTGCACGGATCTGATACACACTTGTTGGCCAGCCACAGGATCACAATGAACCCGAAATTCAAGTCTTCAATAAAGAAAAGTAGTAAACTAGTCTAGTACAGCAAAAGTTATTGCACACTAAACTACCCTACAGAGAATAGCTGCCTTTAACCACTAACACTTCAAGAGATTAGGAATACTAGTCACCTTCATACTGAACAACCCGGGCCGGAATCCCGGGATAGGAGTCTTCACCCTTCTCCCATCTCATAGTAACCTTGATTTTGTACCATCTGCATTACAACAAAAAGAATAAAAGACCAACATTAAAAAAAAAAATGAAAAGTAAAGCATCATAAGGGAAAAAAAATGTTGCAACAAGTAGTCCTTACCCTTGTTCAAAGAGATCAAGATTATGAAACCTGTGAATGTAAATTGCAACCTCATGCACAGCATCGAGCACAGGCAAGTGGTTTGGCCTTGCAGGGCCAGGTTGTTGTTCAACATTGACCAACCTTTTGGTTGACCAATTCTTCTGATTCAGACCCACAAACCATCTGAGTCTCCGAAACATAAGTAGTAGTACTAGCAGGCGATACAGAAATCCTTAAAGCCCAAGTGACCATTCATCCCTTCATTGAAAGTGGAGCAAAACCCGCGAGTCCTGAACCTAAAAAGGAACCAACTTTCTCTCACCCACCTTCGTTTCAATGCAGACCAAACCCATTAATGCTATCTCATGCTTGAAAGCACCACACTTTAAGTCATCTGCAAAGTGGGTCTGGGGTGAAGCGATTGATTGGTTGGTTGGAGTAAGGAAAAAGTTGGGGACCAAGATGAAAGAAAAATAATAAAAGGTGAATCCCAATGAATGAGTCGAAAGCGTGTGGAAACAAGAAGAACAAAGACGCAACTTTGTTCATGATGAAGAGTAATAATTCACGATTTATATACCTGTTGGCACCCGAACATCATTTTCTTCGTCAACCCTTTTCGCAGTACCGCTATTAATGGTCTTTTTGATTTTTCTTTTTCTTTCTAAAAGAAAAAAAACTAAAAGTAAAATTGAAAATGGTAACATGGGATGTCGTGTCGGTGAACTATGGGCCATGTAATTGTACGCTGTGAGCCTGTGATTGGTATCTTTGTATAATGTATAGGCAGTGTTGCACTCAAAACGTTGCTTCATTTCGGTTTTGATATACGAGGAACAATGATTTGAAGGTTCCTACGTTGGTTAAGATTACCATTTTTTAATTCATTACCAATGTTCTAGTGGTTTGTGATACTACTGATTTTGGTGGAAATGGAAATTGCAAACGAATAAACTCATTTTATAGTGGAATTTTTCTTATGTTATTGCGTGGGGTAGTAGAGTGATGATTGTTACGATAAGTGAGACTCAAACGAGTGACAATAATAATCATGAAGCATGGTCACTTATAAAATTATGTAGCATATTTGTTGGGTAAGTAGTACGTATCCATATCGTACACGTTGCGGTATTGTAACAAAAATATTTTTTTTGACTGCGTGACAAAAAAACAACCTTTCAACTTCCAAGTGTTATATGGATAATTCATAACGTTTTAAATTTAAATATTGTTTTTGTTATTATAATTTTGATTAATAAAAAAGTATTATACATAAAATTATGTATTCTGGTAGATATATTTATAGACATTATCCGAATATATATTGAGCTTGTTCCCCCAAATCTAATAAATAAAGATATTATTTTTATCATCATTCATGTTATTATGTGTCCTTGTTTATTTACGACATGAGAGAATTTTTGTTCTTCATTTTCTAAATTTGTTATTGTAGGTACCCTGTTGAATACAAAGTATAACTCATTTGAAATTGAATCATTTAAAGAGTTTCATTTTAAGGATGGACTTTCTTGAAAATTCTACTCATTAAATATGAATCCTTTTTATAATATTGGTTGGTGAGATTGAAACAGTTAAGATATGGTATCATTACCATACTTTAGTGTTATAATATTTATTGATGAATATTTTTATGATTTCGAAGAATCTAATTCCTTTTAAATTTAACTTATGTTTACTTTTATTTCTTTGTCATTTATACAATTTGATCATCTTTATATATAATTTTTTTTAAAAATATGTACGATTTTATGATTTATGTTAACGTGCTCTTATTTTAGATTTTTGAAAAAATTTGTATCCCGTACCCGATACACCAAACGTGTATGGCTGTATCTAATTAAGCAACGTAGGGTGGTAGTTGTGGGATGGTGATAGTCATTGCAGCAGAAGGGTAGTCGAATGTAAAAGGAGTAATAATGATTGAATTCATAATAGTGATCGAATTTAAAAGGCTTCAATATTTGAATTTTTTACTACAATATTATTTTTTTTTTAAAAATACCAAAATAACACCAATACAAAATTATTTACAGAATTAGACATATTTACTCTTCATATGTTCAGAATTTGGTTTTCGATAACCGAATTCTGAGTATCATTATTTTTTTTTTAAGTCCAGAGTTCGGTTCCGGGGAACCGAATTCTGAGTACTTTTTAATTTTATTTTTTTTTCGTTTTAGACTCAGGAATGTGTAAATTTTGCAATTAGAACGAGTCGTTCTCAAAGGAGAACGGCCCATTCTAGAATAAAGTTTTAAGCATAACTTGAATTTTGAAACAGACCATTCCAAACAAGGAAAAAAATTGGATTCAGAACGGGTCATTCAGAACGGCCCGTTCTGAATCCAGTTTTTTTCTTTCCTCAGAAACGAAAACGTAAAAAAAAAAAAATTGAACTATGAACAGTAAACAGGTCTAGTTCTATAAATAATTTTGTACAGGTGTTATTTTGATATCTTTTAAAAAAAATAATATTGTAGTAAAAAATTCTCAATATTTTCCCTTTTTTATTTTAATTTCATTGGATGATTTGGTGCACTTTGGAAAGATGTAGTAATACCAAACATAATTCGTTGCAAAATTTAATTTGTTAAATTAAATAAAGTAAATTTGTACTAAAAAGATTTTTTTTTTTGGGTGAATTTTGTTTCTAAAATGTGTTACACGTATACACCTAAATAATACAGGACTTACTCTATTTATTTATTTATTTATTAAGGGACGCACTTTCTCTTATTTTGAAATGAATGGGTCCTTAATATATACGGGAGTATTTTTTTTGTAAAAAAAATATTTTTTTAAAGAGTGTGTTTGGTCGAAGGTTGGTAAAATTTAGGCAAAAATACTAATTTGGTCCCTTATAATATTTTAAATTTTCAATTTAGTTTCACCTTAATTTTTTGTTTTAATTTGGTCTCCAATAAGTTAAATCACTACAATGTTGGACCTTCCGTCCAAAATTCTTAAACGGAGTTAATTGTTGGTCACGTGGATGTCACGTAGATACATAAGTGGCAAGGTGCCACGTAATGCATCTAGAATGACCCATTCTGAAACCAGAACGACCCGTTCTGGTTGCACTATTTGTGTGTTAATTTTGCATTTAGAACGGCCCGTTCTGGTTTCAGAACGAGCCGTTCTGGTCCCATAACACCAACCACAAACGGTCAATGATTATAGTTCACGCTCGTGATTCTAAATCACGATTGTGAATTGTTCAAGGAAAAAAGCCCAAGGTACAAAACATTTCAAACACTGGATTTGGTAATATTGTCAATGGGGGATTGATAACTTCAATTGCTAAATATTTGGGCTATACAGCATTTCTGGACCAATTGAAGGATATAGGAACTCCTAGAAGTATTAATTATAATACTTGTTATGCAATGCAGTATATCACTAAGGACATTAAGGACAATGGTGGCAGGTTTTATTTCATTGTTAGTCAAACTGGAATGAATCACTTACTACCAAATCGGTACTATACAGTCAAGGATGAAACGACTATAAAAGGTTTAAAGAATAATTCTGATATATATTTCAAAGAATAGTGTACCATATATATACATACAAGGGTCCTATAATTCCTCATCTATTAAAGGAATGACAGCTGCACAAATTACCTCACAGTTGTAATAATGCCTAAATTACAGCTAACACAATATTTGATTGCATAATATTTGCTAATAGAATATTTGACATATCTTAACACCCCCACTCAAGTTGGTGCATGGATATCACACATTCCCAACTTGAATAGAGACTCATTAAACACTCTGCTTGACACTCCTTTGGTGAGAACATCAGCCAGCTGCAATTCTGATCTTACAAAGGGAAAGGAAATTATTCCAGCTTCAAGCTTCTCTTTGATGAAATGTCTATCAATCTCCACATGCTTTGTTCTATCATGTTGCACAGGGTTGTGAGCAATTGCTATAGGCGACGTATTGTCACAATACAAACTCATAGTTTCATTTGGTTTAAAGCCCAAATCTGATAGCACATTTTTAATCCACAAAAGTTCACATACACCTAGTGCCATGCCTCTGAATTCTGCTTCAGCACTAGATCTTGCTACTACAGGTTGTTTTTACTCCTCCAAGTTACAAGATTCCCTCCTACAAAAGTAAAGTATCCAGAGGTAGATCTTCTATCATCTTTTGAACCTGCCCAATCTGCATCAGTGTACCCTTCTACCTTTAAGTTTCCATGATTTGAGAACAAAATTCCTTTTCCAGGAGTGGACTTCAAATATCTCAAAATCCTCTCAACAGCATCCATATGAAGCTTTCGTGGGTCATGCATAAATTGACTAACAACATTCACTGCATAGGTAATATCTAGACGTGTATGGGACAAATAAATTAATTTTCCTACCAGCCTTTAGTATCTCCCTCTTTCTATACTTGCTGAATTTGAGCATTGAAAGATTTTATGATTTTGTTCAATTGGTGTATCAACTGGTTTACTACCAAAGCAGTCCAGTTTCCGATAGTAAGTCAATAGTATATTTTCTTTGGCATAGAAAAATACCATGTTTTGATCTAGCTACTTCAATACCTAAAAAATATTTGAGGTTTTCCAAGTTGTTTCATCTCAAATTCAGATGCAAGGTATTTTTGTAAATTAACTAGAAATCTCATCTTGGTCATTTCCTGTAACAATCATGTCATCTACATATATAATCAAGGCTGTAATTTTTCCTTTTCCCCTCTTCAAAAATAAGGTGTGATCAGAGTTACTTGCTCTATAGCCAAAAGCCTTCATAGACTTAGTAAATCTTCCAAACCATGCTCTTGGGGATTGTTTTAATCCAAGAGCCTTCTTTAATTTGCAAACCTTCATTCCAATTGAATATGTCATGCCTGGTGGAGAATCCATATAAATTTCTTCTAGAATTTCTCCATGTAGGAAAGCATTTTTCACATCAAATTGTAGAAGAGGCCAATCTTGGTTTGCTGCTAGCGACAGAAGTATTCTCATAGTGTTGAGCTTGGCTATCGGTGTGAACGTCTCTTGGTAATCTACACCATAAGACTGAGTGTAACCTTTAGCCACAAGTTGTGCTTTATACCTCTCAATAGTTCCATAAGCTTTTATGCTTAATTGTAAATACCCATTTGCAGCCCACAGTTTTCTTTCCTCTTGGTAAAGACACAAGATCCCAAGTGTTGTTTTTTTCTAAATTTGTCATCTCATCAACCATTGCTTTGGTCCATCTAGGATCTGCCAAAGCTTCTTGTATATTACTAGGAATAGAAAGAAGATAATTGAGATACAAATGATGCATATGACTGGGATAACTTGTGAGATGACACATATTTACTAATGGGATATTTAACTTTGGCTTGGAGGTCTGGTTCATATTTAGCTTGAGGTTGACCATGGTTAGAACGGGGTGGAAGATTATATTGGACAGTAGTAGACTTAGTGTATGGTGTGTTGGTGGTCTCACGCAGACAAGGATCAATTTCATGATCAGTTTCATCTAAATTAGTATTATCAAGGGTAGGATCAAGAGAAACA